GAATTCCCGAGGTCCAGGGCCAAATGCACGGACCTCGGTGGGTCCACGGAGTCAAATTCCACCTCTCGGTGGCGTGCCGGGCGCTGGCAGGCCAGGGGTGCCGGGAACGGCCATTCGGAGATCGCTCTGACCGCCTTGCACGCACCTCACACCCGTGCCGGACCACGAAGTGCCACAGCGTGCGCAGCAAACATGTCAGCCATATGGTGAGCCATCCTTCCACGATGTCCGACACGCCCGCCGGCCCGCGGCGCCACGCCCGCCACCTGGCCTGGTGCTTTGCTTTGCCCTATCAGTGCGGCGTCAGGCCATCCGGCTCGACGTGTCCCATGGCGGGGACCGAGCGCAGGGCCTCCATTCGGCCTTGCTGGTCGCTTTCGGTGGCAGGGCCGCTGCTGATGGACATAAAAGACTCTTCAAGGCCATCAGGGGCTAGATGCTTTGGGTCAACATCTGCCTGAACTTCTCGTGAGGCACGCGCACAATGTACTCGCTAGTTCGGTTTATGGCTCACTGGTGTGGAGTGATCCTGCATTATTTTGTTGGCAGCAAGCATTTAACCTGTAACCTCCTGGAGGATATTGTTGGCACCAAGCAAAGGCAGGATCACACAACAAAGGACGTGGAGATGCCGAGTGTCATGTCGGCACTCGGTGTTTACACACGCAATGGAGGTACTGTAGCTGCACATTACTTGATTTTCCACATCCTGCTTACAGACAGGGGTGGCCGTGCTCCTCAGCATAGGTTAGTCGATACAACATGGCTGCACCACAAGCTTAGCTCCTCGCTGCAACAGTAATGACCCACAATTGAATTTCCAAGCACATGTTATGTAAGCCACCTGATAGAACGGATTATGAGCCCTCCATCACTTTGCCACCGGCTGAACTACTGGTGATGCTATGACTGCCACTGTTGCCAGCATGATCACCGCCACCACCTCCGCTGCTGCCATTGCCGCAGCCTCCTCCATCACCGCTGATGCCCTTGCCGCTGCTGCCAACGGGACCGTCCTCCTCCTCGTTGTTTGCGCCATCCTCGTCGCTATCCCCGCCCACCATCGCCAGCAGCATTGCTGCATGCACCTCCACTTCACTCAGCACCTTGGCCGGCTGCCGAGCTGGTGACGTTGGCGCCGCCGGCTCAAGGGCCGCCGCAGACTGAGGGGGCAGGGCAGCGCCGGCCAGTGCAACTGCTGGGCGCTGCCCTGACCCTTGATCGCCTCTGCCCCAAAATCGCGTGCATGCGTCCCTCTCAACAGCCTGTCGCTTGGCTGCATGAAAGTGCTGTTGCGCGCCGCTCGCCATCGCCTCCACGCGCCTTTTGTGGGGGCAGCAGTCAGGGGGCTCTGCAGCCCAGGCAGCCTCGAGCTGGTGCTGCCGTTGGTCGCCCAGCTGTGTATCTTGTTGCTGCTGTTGATGCTGCTGGTGCTGGTGCTGGTGCTGGTGCTGCGGCGGCGGCTGCTGAGCGGCCACTGCAATCGACATGCCAGCGACCACACCCAGCCGCACGCGCAGGTGCTCCAGCGCAAGCCGCATGCCGCCGTCGCCAGCATCCCCGACGCAGCTGTCCGCAAGCGCATGCAGCTCATCCGCTGCGGCACGCAGAACCGTGGGTGTAGGGCCGCGCGACGCCAGGGCTGCCAGCAACGGCAGCACGACAACCGTCTCTGCCTGCTCCCGCACCCCTGCAGCTCCCTCCAATATGCTGCTAGTCAACAGGCCCGTGGTGCCGCCTCCGCCAGCTGCTGCCGTAGTTGCTGCTGCTGCTGCCGCCATCGCTGCCATCCCAGGGCTTGTGGCCAGCGCAGCCGCCACCATTGGTGTTTCTTCCGTGAAGTGCGCCTGCGGTGACGGCATCTGCGACATCACATGTTGCGCCTGCTGCTGCTGCTGCTGCTGTTGCTGCAGCGGGTGCTGGAGTGGCAGCTGGTGCACTTGGGGCAGCTGCGCGGCCAGGCCAGTCAATGCAGCTGCTGCGTCAAATGATGCCTGCCTGAACTGCCCTAGCCCGCCGTCACTGGTGCTGCTTAGTGGGGCCCCTGCCTTCATGCTCTTCATGGCTCGATCCCCCTTGGCTGTTCCGTCGCTGGTGCTGTTGTCGCCGCTGCCTGGTGCATCCTCCTTGGCCTGCAGTGACACAGCAACCAGGCAGCCCTCCTGCTCCGGTTGGCTGCCACCATCCTGCTGCTGCTGCGGCGGTTCATGCTGTTGCTGTGGGAGCTGTCCTGTCCCCGCTGCTGCACCTGCTGCCATTCGCTCTGCGAGGTGCTGCAGCTGCACCAGCACGGCCGTAAATGCCACGTCATAAGGGTGGCCACGACTGGCCAGCTCTGTGGCTGCCACGTCTGGCGCCATGGCAGCGCCGGCCTGTGACGCCAGGAGCTCAGCCGCTGCGTCCTGCGCCGATATCAGCACCTCTGGAGGGTACAACGGGTAAGCCACGCCGTGACAGCCGTTGTCGCCGCCCGACACCGTGCCGCCCATGCCCTCACCGTCCACCGCCTCGCTATCAGAGCCGCCGCCCCCGGCTGCAAGCGCAAGCCGCGGCGGTGACAGCCCGCCTGGCGCGGGTGCCATTGCAGCGCGGCCCATGGAGAGGCCGTGGGTGAGCTGGTAGCGCTGCAGGGGGCTGCGATGGTGGTCATCCCACGGCATTTTCTTGCGCAGGGTGCAATTCCTGGCAGGGGGGAAATTGGTGTTGCAAGCGTGCATATTGGGCAATGGTGAAGAGTGGCTGGTGGACTGGTGTATTGTGGCAGTGCGGTGGCATTGACCAGGCACATTCAGTCAATCATCGACTCGCTTCTCTGCTTTCGGCGCGTGACAGTGCTGATATCGCGTCTGGGCGCACAAGCGCAAACTGGCCCGCGTGCAAACAAGCTCACACATACACGCGCTGTTGTCTTGGCGAGCGGGCGCATGCACACGCGCGCGTGCGTGCGTCCGCACTCCATCACGCATGTCGCACCAACCCACGCACCAGTGGTTCTTGATATCTGTCTCCGTGCGGCCAGGCAGATGCTTCGCTATCTTGGACCACGAGTTGCCCATCTGCTGGTGGCGTCCCACCAGCGTCTCCTCCTCCTCCCAGGTCCAGGGGCCGCGCTTGAGGCCGGGCTTCAGGTGGTGCATGTAGCGGCCACGGCACTGCTTGGCGGTGCGGCCGCTGCCCTCGTAGCCAAGCGCCCTGCTGACCTCCCTGGCCACGGCCATCCAGTTCTTGTCGCCAGCGCGCTCGACGGCTCTGTTGGGTTCATTTGATCAGCCAGGGTAGTTGGGTGCGGTGGGGGCAGTGGGGAGGGGTAATTGTCATGCAAGCTGGGTACACAGGCATTTGCGACAACCGCAGACAACACGCCAACGCGGCAAAGGGCGACAGGGCCCGGGGGGGGGGGGGCTGCCCCCAACAGCAACACAGTCAATCGCTGTTTTTGCACCACACGGCTGCAGCTGTTCTGGTGTGCACCGGCCACCTTGGTCCCACGCACTTGCGCAGGGCTTCATCCTCCTCGGCCTTCCACGTTCCCTTGAACTCGGCCATTGCCGGCTTACGGCATGCACCTCAACGCCTGCTGTGCCTTGATGCTCCTGCGCAATCTGTCGCACGGGCGCCACCAGCGTTGTGCGCGGCAACCACCGCTGTGAGGTGCAGGTGCCGAGTGAGCGTATGGCACAAAGCAGTGTGTCTTCCATCTGCGCCATCACTCATGCACTGAGGTCACGCAGAGCCCCGCGTGGCGGCGGCACGTTTGAAGGGGGGGCGTGGGCTGCGATCACACACCAGGTGCTGCGTGTCTGACAGCAGATCGTGCGACAGTAAGTCATCATGGCAAGCCATACGTGCGCAGTAGCTATATGTGCGTCCCAGAAGGCTCGACACACACCAGCAGTGCTTCGTCATGAGCCCCCGGACCCCGTGCGGGGCCATGGCTAAAGACCACTCACCCTCAGCGAGCCTTGCGCGCGCAGCTGAATCGCATCCTGTACTGTATCGGACAAGCCAAGTTGCGCTTCGCCCGTGTCAGGTAGTCGTTCGTTGCTTTGTGTATTTGAGTTTTCTGCTGCCTCAGACATTACGACGGTTCATACTTACATAATCAAGGCGCTAGATACCGTAGTTTAATCTTAAAAAGCCGCTCGCACCCGTCGCAGGGAGGCCCGAGTGTTATCAAATGTTTCCTTTCACATTACTCCTACCAAATACTTTACCCTTAGTTGCAACACCGGTGAAGCGGGTACTGGCAGAATCGCTTTGAGCACATTGCTGCTTGCCACATCTGCTGTGCACGGTCGACGGTGGTGACCATTCTAGGCGCCCCTTAGTATCTATAACGGTGTATCAATGAAGTCCGGTGGACGGGATAAGGGCGGGCAGGGATACCCACTCGCTTTGTGCAAACCGCTGCATGCCACATTTGCCGCGTGGGTGTCTACGGTGGTGGGCTCCTCCAGTCACAGCAGAGTAATGACGTGCTCCCCACTGCATGCATGCGACTTTGGTTGTATATATTGTATCATGGATGCAGTGACAAGGATCTAGTCACAGTGTGGCGCCACCAATGTGCCCTGCTTATTAATACCGCAGAATGGGCGGGCACGTTGCCAAGCACCCTGTGGGAGAGAGGACTGTACAGTGGGCAGGGCGGGAAGTGTCGATCAAACATCTGGTGGGAGGTTGTGTGCGCGTGAATGGATGCGTCGGCGAAGGGAGGACGCGACGGACGTGTGTACTGTGTGTCGCCCAGGTGGCTGCAGCCCATAGTTGAGAAATGGGGGCGAGGGTGGTTGGACAGCTGACGCCCGTGTAAAGCTTGGCATGGTTGTCGATTGTGTACCTACTCACGCAGGGGCACCTTGTTAGTCTGGAATGTATGATTGCAGGTTGCAGACGGTGCACGCCGCGCTGCTGCAGGGGTCGGGAGCTGAATGGCGTGTCCGACACTCAGCAGAATGGATATGGTGGGCATGGTTGCGCCGCTATTTAACATGCTGCCGCTGCTGCTGCTGCTGCTGCTGCTGCTGCTGCTGCTGCTGCTGCTGCTGCTGCTGCTGCTGCTGCTGCTGCTGCTGCTGCTGCTGCTGCTGCTGCTGAAAAACCATCGACAGGACGGCGATGCCACAGCCCACACGCTGCTCGAGCGGCGGCATTGGGATGGCTCTGCTTGCGCGCCGTCAGCTGAGTTTGACAACCCCTCATGGCCCCCGCTATCGTGCGTCACACGTCGCCACAGCGTCGCGCAGGTTACAAGGCGCCTGTGATCCACAGCCAGGCAAGGTATGCCGCGCCACCAACGAGAATCTCGACAGCAAGCCGCTGCGCAGCCTCCTGCCTGCGTACGCTTCTTCGATTCTTGCCCCCCACAAGATCAGAAAAACGCAGAGCACGGTTGTCATGCCGCAGCGCATACACCACGCCCTTGCATGGAAGGGATGTAGGTGGGTGGAGGAGCCAGACTCAGGTTGAAGCCCTTGTGCCACCTAACTAGGCTGGTCAAATACCGGTCAACACGAGGCAGCTCCACCAGCCGACCAGCCCTGCCCAGCCAGCAATGCAGCAGCTGCAAGGCAACAACGCGCAGTGTTGCAGGCCGGCGCTCCCTCACCTGCAGGTGGCCCTTCCCGATGACCCCTACCACGCGGCTGGTGCCGTTAACTGCCTTGCTGCGCTTGAGGGACCACGCCAGGTAAAGGTCGCGCTCCGCCACCTGCTCAGATGGTATCAGGCACAGCACAGCCGACTGTGATAATACAGCCCTCCCGTTTGCTGAACAGATTGCCACACATGAAACATGCGGCTGCGGGGATGTTGTGTACAGCCCAGCCCATGCCAACGCAGCCGCGCCTGCACCCGTTTGCCATCCGCACCAGTGGCGATATAAGATCAGGGTAGCGGGTGCTCCACTGTGCAAACATTGAGTTGACTGCACCGTCCTGCTTGAGGGCCTCCACCAGCTGTGCGGCGCCATCAGTCGAGGCATGCGCAGGGCGGCTTGGTCAGGCAGGCGGCGGTAACGCAGTGTAGCAACCACCGGGTGGCACTCCACAGAGCAAGCAGGCCACGGCTGCGGTCCCACCAGCCGCACCCACGCCCCAAGCGGTCGCACGTCCGCACCTCTGCACTGAGCTCCGGTGGCAGCGGCGCCGCCGCTGCACGAGCCAGTTCTGCCAGCAGTGTCGCCCGCCGCCGCCAGCTGAGCGCATCCCATGCGCGCTGCAGCGTGATCTCCACCGGCCGATCGCCCAGCACCAGCTGCGCACCAACTGCGTCCGCCGCCACGGCTGCCGCTGCAAACTCGGCACCAGCCTTCACCCCCAGACGATCTGCGTGGCAGAGGGTGGAGGTTCAGGTTGGGAGTAGGAACTGACTTGCCACTCAGGACACGGACAGGACACGGAAATTGCAGTCTTATTGCACCAGCTATCCAACTCAGGCGCCCGGATCTCGCACACCATGCACTGGTTCCCCCCACGATTGGGCCGTTGCAGCACAAATGCAATGGCTGTGACGCCTGCCCACCTGCTGCCCTCCGTGCACCAAGCGCCAGCAATAGCCGCAGCACCAGCCCGCTCTGCCCACCCTGGCTCAGGGCGCGCTGCATAGCTTCTGCAAAGCTGGAGCCCGACAACGCCAACGGGTTGCTGGCGCTGCCCTGGGCCAATGGGGTTGCCCTGCCAGGACTGGCCACCTGGGCACCGCGCTGCTGATCTAGCTGCTGCTCCTCAAAACTGCCTTCTGCCGTTGCGTCCCGCTCTGGTGCCTGGCCGCCAGGCACCTGCTGCTGCTGCTGCTGCTGCTGCTGCTGCTGCTGCTTCTGCTGCTGCGCTTGTCCGCCTGTTTCTGAGCTGCCGCTGGTGTGCAGCAGAGCCGTCCGGCTCCTGCACAACTCCACCACCACGCACTCGGGTTGCACTACCTGGTGACCCAGAATTGATACCGCGAGATGGAATGCATGGTCAGCCTGCATGCGAACATGCACACTACTCTGCACAGTGCACAGGCAGGTGCTGCGTGCCGCCCCCGAGGTCGGCTCAAATCCAGGCCCACACCCGCCCTGTTGAGTCCACAACAAGCCGCCGCACCTCGACAACCCGTCGCACGTCCTCAGCGCTCTTGGAGCTGACGTGCGCAGTGCCCACGATGAACACAAGCTCGGGTTCGCGATACCTGTCAAGTGAAGCCGCTAGTGGTTGACAAGCATGCGACCCAGCAGAGCTGCTAATCTTGCAGTGCCTCGTGGTGGCGCCTATGACAAGCGTCGTGTGAGAATACCTGCACAGATGCCCCAGCTATCAGATCACCCGAACAGCAGTGGCGTCAGCCGCGCACCCGTCTGTCCGCCGCTCCACATAGCTGTCTGGACGCCGGTGAACGACCAGAACGCCTGCGGGGCATGGCGGTCCGCATTTGTCAAGGCAGGTTATGATGCTGGTAAGTAAAGTTCTGGCACTGCTATGCCTGGCTGGTAGTGTCCCGGAGCCGTTCATCCGGGGCCCGCTGCAAGCGCACTGTGCCCTGTGGCACCCACTGCTTGCCAACGCCGTCTCTGCTCTGATCCATAATGCATGTTTGAGCCCTCACCCTCCTCAACCAGGTCCATCAGCTGAGGGTAAAGTTTGCCTATGACATCTTTTGTCTCTGGCTGGATCTCAGCCCTGAAGTTGTAGCCCAGCGGCGGCCCACTGAGGGGCAATGCTGGCGCAGCGGCGGCACTGTGAGCCTGGCAGCGAAAGCGCCGCAGGTGAACTAGCGGCCAGCCGCGATGCTGCAGCACAGATGAAGTCCCACGTGTGTACCTCATCTGCAAAGAAAGACTGACGCAAGTACTCTTGGCGCAGGAGACAGCGCTTGAGACGAATTGTTTCAAGGTACCCTCGCAACGCTGCAACGAAGGTGCATCTCAGAAGAAATGATGTCAACATAAGCAGCATGCATGTGCTCCATCACAAGCGCAGTAGCCGCGCACAGGTCAATGGGTGGACCTGATGGCCTGGTGTCACCGGCAGGATGTGCTCAGTTCGAGGCTGAGCTCAGAGCTGCCGGACTTTTGGCTGGCAGGTGTGTTCAGGGGCAACCAAGCAGATATACCAGTCCGATCGGTCATGCGCAGAGGGTATTGCGGACAACTCTTTGCAGCAACCTGAAGAACTGTGGACGCATGTTGCGGTTTCGAACGGCTGGCGGGGGGGAGTGAACACGGGCGGCAGCGTGCAAATAGGTTGCAAGCGGCGCCCTGCAGGGTCGAAGGGGGCTGCGGCGGCCTGGGCTGCGCGCCTAAGGCGTGCGCCTTGGGGGGAGGGACTTGATGAGGACTGTTGCGCAGGTGACCATGCCCAGCAGCAAAGCCAGGGCGTGGCAGGTCTGATGGACTATGAACAAACCAGGCCAGCTCCATCGCAACGAGTGCCCACTGCCTGATGTACACCGGGTCTGGGCCCTTGCACCACACATGCCGATTACAGCTGTCCTTTAACAGTTTGGATTGGCAGAGGGGTTGGCTCGTTTTTCAGAGCGACGTGAAGAATATCTTCAACAACTTGGTTGCACCCAGAACACACAGCCGCTCACTTCAAGGCAACAAAGCAGTCAGAAATCTACGCCAAACTATCACAAAATTGTAAAAGCATCGGCCCCCGGCGATCCCCGCGGTGGCGTTGGCTGCGTCGCCGGGGGCCGCTGCAGCTGAACTGCTACTTGCCCGTGCTGTTCTTGCTCCTGACTGTGAGCGTCCTGCGAGCTGAAAACTGGCAGCAGCACCTCGCGGTCAAACTGCGTCAGCCGGTCAACCAGGTTGCGTATTGGCAACGGCAGCCGCCGCTGGGCGTCCTCCAGGGAAGAGGCTCCGCCGCCAATGGCAATGAGCGGCGTGCCGGGCTGCTGCGGGGTTCCCCCGTTGCTGGGCGTTGCGGGGCGCGGCGCCTGGTAGCCGCTGTCACTGGCGCCAGCGCCCCCGCCACCGTCGCCGCCGCCGTCGCCGCCTCCGCCGCCGCCGCCAGTGCTGCCGCTGGCGCGGCCGAGGGGTGGTCGGCCGCGCGTGAAGGAGCCAGGTGGGCTGCTCTCAAGGGCGGCGGCGCTGGCGATACGCCGATAGGTGTGCCTGGTGAGGGGGTGTGGGATGGTTGCGGTGGGTGAGCTTTACGAGAATCAAGCGAGCCGGACCAGACACTACGTTATTGGCTAATGCATGGCAAGTGAGTTGAACATGCGACAACAGAGAATGCTCACCACCCCTGCTGCTGCGCGGCTGTGCCGTGCATTTTCTCCAGACTGTCCTTATGGTTGTGCCTGTTGTGTCTCACCCGAGCAGTGGCATGTTGCTGAGCTGCGCCGCCAGCGCTGTGGTCCCACCGTCTCGCAGCATCATGCCCATCAGCGGCTTAGTGAGGCCGCCGGCCGCTGTTATCGACAGCATCACGACCTTACAGGAGGGGGGAGGAGAGGGAGGGGCGTTGACACGTGGGAGCGCACCGGCAGAGCGGGGTGAGGGATGACGGGGAAACCCTGCGCGTGACTCTGAACCATGGAGAGGGGGCACATGTTGGCGCCACCCATGATGCAACAAGCGCGCCATGAGGCCCAGGGCTACGGCCCACCATGAGGGTTGACACGATGAGTGTGGCCTGGTGGCGGTCCGCCACGGCTACCTGTGTATTGCGTGGCGTAAGGGCCAGGCCCGAAGAGGGGCAGGGCAGGGATGCTGTCAGGGTAAGCAGAGCACTTGTGCGGGCCATAAGAATCGTGCTGCACCTAGGATTATCGTCCCATGCTGGTGCCAAACCTGCAGGCGCGGGTTACACAAGGAGTGCTCATGCAAATGCACGAGCCCAACTCGCGACGCCCGCCTCAGTGATGGCGGATACCGCCCCCACCCCTCCTCTGCGCCACCCGCCTGGTCCATGCGGTCAAAGTGGAGGTACACCAGGGCCACAGACACAGCGCCACGCATCAGGCCACTCCACCTGCGCAGCAAGGTGTGTGGGGCGATGATGGACCGTAAGAGCGACTGTGACATAGTCATGCTATCCCGGACACGCGTTGAATGGGGCAGCAAGGTGATGAGAGGTCGCGTCAACATGATGCCGTTACCCATGGTCCCAAGGACCCCACGGTGGGCGCTTGTCATGTGCAGTGCAACTCATCTGAAACAACAACCCAGACGCACGACGTGCGCAAGCGGTGCGCTCCATGTGCCAGCCCCACCAAACGATGATGATGTCACGGCGCGTCAGCTTCTCGCTGTGCGGCATCATGTTGTGGACGAGCGAGAAGGGCACCACGATGGCCGCGCGAGCCACCAGCAGCAGCACCGACAGCACCATGACCAGCCACAGGGTCTCGATGAGGTAGGCCGACTTTGGGGATCATGTCACGCGGGGGTTGGGGCCAAAGGTCTGCCTGGTGAGCTTGGGGCACCAAGGGGCAGGGCGCTGCAAAGGGCGCCACACGCTTGACTCATCATGAAAGATCCCCAGAATCCCATCGTGCTGTGCAGGAGCGCTGCTCGCCTTCCACTTTTGTGGGTCCAGGCAGTCCATTCCCACGTAGACGAACACGGCGCCCTCCGCCACGTACGCCAGGGTGCGGAACGCGTTGACGGCAGTCGCGCGTCCCGCGGAGCTGATGTTGCTGAGCGCATAGTGGGACACCTGGGGGGGGGTGGGGTTGGGGTAGGCGAGCGCGAAGGGCAGGGCGAGCGAGGCAGCACGGAGTTGAGGGTGAAATAGTGCGGCGATCAAGACCGTGCTAAGGAGGTGGCCTAAGGCCCGGCGCAAAATGGACGGCACTCCACATAAGCGCAAGCAAGGAGCAACTGCGAAGCTGCCCAGGCTGTGCGTACCGTGGCCGCAGCCTCCGCATGCCAAGTGCCTTGCAAGGCCCACACGCCCCCCCCCCCCCGGCCTCAGTTGCCCCCACACCATCATCCCTGTGACGAAGAGTGCCAGTATGGCCGACAGCCCCAGCAGGTCCGCCGCCAGCCAG